GGCTGCCCAGGGAGGCTGTGGAGTCTCCTTCTCTGGAGATATTCCAGCCCCGCCTGGACGCGGTGCTGTGCAGCCTGCTCTGGGTGACCCTGCTTCGGTGGGGGTTTGGGCTGGGTGACCCACATAGGTCCCTGCCAACCCCAACCATGCTGTGATTCTGTGAAAAGCCTGATTCCATGACATTCTGAACAATGGCATCGGACATCAATGCCTGATCTGCTAGGTAATGAATAATCTGGGAACCCAACTCACCAGTTCCAGCCCTTTGCTCACACTACGCCCCACACAATCGCAAAGCCACCCATCGTCACGCAAGGACAAGCCCTGTGCGACGCCAGTTTGCGGTGCGACTCCCGAGGGGCCAGGAGGTTCAGCCCCCCCGGCCCCATTGCTCCGGCGACACGCAGAGCTGTGGGCAAGCCAGCGTAGCTTCACCAGAACAGAATCACAGAATCACAGAATCACAGAATGTTAGGGGTTGGAAGGGACCTCTGTGGGTCACCCAGTCCAACCCCCCAATCCTGGCTTTTAGAATGGCCACGGGGTGGGGACTATGTGCCCCAAAACACGAGACGGCCATTTCCACAGCGCTGAGAATTCAAAGTACGGGCAGCCAACCTTCAACAATGTTACGTGCAGAACTCTGACTCCAAACACACGCAGAGGGTAATAAAGAAGCAGATTACAGGGGAAACCCTAACCGCAGCGCTGGAGGGGAGAAGCCTCTGCTTTCCCTGCTTCAAACGCTTAGAACGAAGCACTGCGGTTGAGGACGCGAGGTGTGGAAGTTGAGCTGGCGCTTTCTGCTGGGAGGTGGTGCAGCTGCCGGGCACGCCAGGCTCTCCGCCGCTTCCAGCCTTCACCTGCCGGCGTTTTTGCCTTCCAGTCGTGCCGCGGCAGCACGGGATGCGCAGCGGGAGCTGTGCCAGGCTGAGAGCCGCTCCTTTCCGGGAAACGCTCCCGTTGGCTTCCACGCTCACCGCTGGCTGACACCACACCACCGTCTGAGCTGGCGCCGACAGGCAAACCCCATCAACTCCAAAACAAATGTAAGAAAACACGTACCGAGCATGCTCTATGGCAATTCGAGATACATTTCACACACCCTGCTATAGCTAGGTAATTTTCTCACACTTTGCTATAGCTGGGTAATTACGGAGTGCAGACATTCTTGACAGAAAAAAAGTGGCAAATTCTGGTATTGATTAAAGTCTAATAATTACAATAAGCAAGGGGACAGTCCAATTTAAAGATTTAAAAATTGCATATTTATAATGTTAGATGTATAGTCTAATTCAAATATTAAAAAATACCGTATTTCCAATGTTAGATGTATAGAAAAACTACTCATTTTTTTAAAAGCTACTAGTGGAAATAATTTGTACCTATATTACTGTTCCTCGCTTCTCACCCTCTTCACATGGCTTACTACTAAGAGGAAGTAGAGGTATTTTTGCAAGGCCCGGGGCTGTGATGATCGAATACGACAATACTTTAAAAATGACCTTAAATAACCTTCCGCAGTGGCCTGCCCTCCCTTCGCACCGCCCAAGCAAACCTCACTCTCCGCCCCCAGCCCCTCTCCCATCCCATCCCGTCACGTCGCGGGTGTCGGTTGGCAGCTGTGGGGCCGCGGTGCAGGGGCCCCCCGGGCCTCCAGCGGCTCCCCGGCCTGGCTCCTGGGGCGGTTCGGCAGCAGACAGCGGCGTCCGCAGACCGAAGCTGCTCTCCCAGTTCAGCTGCCAGAACTGCTGGCGGCGGCGATTGACCCCAGCCGCCATTACACCACAACATTAATGGCCTTTGGTACTGGTACAGAAGCACGCGGCCACAGTCGGACAACCTGGGAGCCCACAGAAGCTTTATCGTGCAAAGTCTGAGTTCAGCTTAACGGATGGCAAATGAGCTGACCCGGTCTGGGTTGATTACTCCAGGGTTTTTTAAACTGAACCTAGAGGCAAACCCTGTGCAAGCAGGACGGCTGTACCCCAGCAACGCAAATTTTACAAAAAATTTCTTTACTGAAAGAGTGGTCAGGCACTGGAGCAGGCTGCCCAGGGCAGTGGTGGGGTCACCTTCCCTGGAGGGGTTCAAAAAACATGTGGATGTGGCACTTGGGGACAGGGTTTAGCAGAAATGGGGGTGCTGGGGTGATGGTTGAACTTCATCATCTTAGAGGTCTTCTCCAACCTTAACGATTCTGTGATTCTATGAACTTCACCTCTGGACAGTCGCAGGTGGGTCCCTCATTCTCTCAGGCGCTCGCCTTTCGGTCCGGATGTAGATTGGGAACCAGCGCCACGCTGTGCCTTGTGCAGCCGATGGCGGCTGTTCCCATCTCACGCTGGTGCACAAACTCCAACGTACCACAAGAAACGGCTGCTGGAAGTGGCTCCGCGCCACAAAACCTCGCTCTGAGCCACACTCACGTTTGACTTGGGTACAGTTAAAAACTGCAAAGCCGTGGAGTCTTCAGAGGCTAAGAGTTCTGTCCTGGACATAAATTTAATTAGCTTGTAGAAAGTCAGACATTGCTTAACCACGTCTTTAAGTGATGGTCTGATGTAATAAAGGAACAGCTGAGACCGTAAACACCGAACACGGCCGGGGCAAGCACAGAGCGGAGAAGCGCCAGCGATCTGTGACGGCAGCAGTGTCGGGGACTCAGACCGGCCCTTCGGCCGCACGCCAAGGAAATGCTGACAACCTGTTTTGCAGAGGTCCCCATCTCTCCATCTTTCAATTCATTCATACACATTATTTATAAAGAAATGCAAACACTGTCTTCCCTGGTTTAATACTTCATGACCTGCTCCTGAAAAAAATCCCACACATGATCCGTACATGTTATTAAATATGAGGAATGCACAGCAATGAGTATGTCTCTGTCATCTTTTGTTGCCCCCAGTCAGCTCTGGTATAACCCTTTTAGCGTCCAGAGAAACCAGACCGGAACTCGCCTGTCAGGACGGAGGTTTATCTTACGCAACGTGTAACATCTGAGCAACCAATGTCGTAATTATCAAAATGATTACCCTATCAGTCAGCAGCTCATTTGCCCAGAAGACCTTCACATCTTCTTGCTGATCACGTCCTTTCTGAAGCAAAGACTAATGGCAATAATTAATACTAATAATGCACCTGGGTGTAAGGGCAAGTAAGTACCGCAGTACTCGGTATACGTTGGCCCAGCCCAGCGCAGGTCTGCTAGCTCTCAGAAAAATGGGGGCTCAGTATCAATAAAATAATATTAGACTAAATTTTCTATCTCCTCTTTTCTCATTCTGCTATTTAGAATGCTGGCCAAAAAATGATCTTTTGATTGAGACTCCGTTATTTGCCCCCTTCTCGTTCCTTCCCTGAAGGAAACGTCCACTGTAGATCAGCAGGCCACAGCAGACTAGAGCACAACGAAGCTAACAGAGATTTCTGATTTCAGGCAGCTGAATCTCACCAATGACCAGATCGTGAAATCTGTATTGAGTCTCCACCACGCAGAGTGCAGTTAAACTTGTGTGAACATAGCTCACTGAGTTGACAACTGCGAGACGAGTCAGACACCTTCATGCAGGAGCGAGGAGGAAGGGCGGCCAGCGGCGTCCGAGGCAGCAGTCAGAGCAGCGCGCGTTTCTGAGTGGATTGAGTCCATGTGCCCGGGTAGACTCACACAAGAAACCACCTGAGATTAATTTGCTGCTGGGAGACGAGATGCACTGCTGCACCAGGTACCTTGTCACTCTGTGGACTGAGAAGCACGGACAAACCTGAGGGTTTCCCCTCCTCGCTGGCTGGGTTTATATTTCATTTCTTTTCCAGAACGGCCGCGGACGCAGTAATAAAGGGATTTATCTCTGGGCTCGCACTGAAACGGGGCAGACAGCTAGCGGTTCCCTGGACCGTGGCACGAGGGAGTACAAGCGGGCTGCTGCTCGTTCGGTACACACCATTTTACAACGTGACGAGCCCTGAAATGGTCATGCCAGTGTGGGTCACTGTTCAAACATGTTTGAAGACTGCAACCTTTGCGCCTGTGACCAGCTGGTACGTTACTCATAGCTGTTCCACCCACAGGCTTGGCGCTGAACATTACCTTCATAAATACTGTTTGCATATTATCAAGTTGATAAAAGCCAGCATGTATTTGTACAGAGCTTTTACTTACTTTTTATAGTGCAAAGCTGCCTTCTTCCCCTTCCTCTCCCCTACTCTCTGTGCTTCACCTCACGAAGGCAGAACCACGTCTTACTGGCAAACATCGGCTTCACGGAAGACAGTGAATCCCAGCTTTAAAGGCTTACTAGGGGACAGCACGCGGCACAAATGGGCCTCCAGCACACCAAACACTCCGAAGTCAAGCAAGCGAATATCCTGATGTTAGGACTTGATTCTGCAGGAAAATCTACACTGTTGTACAAGTTCAAGTACAAAGATGTTTTTCTAACAGTTCCAACAATTGGCTTTAACGTTGATATGATTGACACCAGGAAAGATTTTACACTGACGTTTTGGGATGTCGGAGGACAACAGAAAATGAGACGATCTTGGTGCAATTTCCTGGAGAACGCAGACGGACTGCTGTACGTTGTCGACAGCTCTGATAAGCGGCGTCTGGAAGAATCAAAGAAAGAATTTGAACTCATTTTAAAGAATGAATTTCTCAAAAGCGTACCGGTCATCGTGCTGGCAAACAAGCAGGATTTGCCTGGAGCTTTGAACGCGGAGGAAATAACCAGGAGATTCAACGTGAAGAAGCACTGCAGCAACAAAAATTGGTATGTGCAGCCCTGCTGTGCCATCACAGGAGCAGGTTTGTCAGAAGCTCTCCAAAGACTCACCACATTTGCAAAACACTACATCAGAGCAAAGGAGACTTCCACAACTTTTAAGGAAATTGAAACACTTTAAGGATTTCTACAGTGAACTTTAATCGATATATTTTGTTGGACAGCCTAAACCTGGAAATACTGGATTCTGGAGAACTCTCATAAGCAAATATTTATAAAGAACTTCAACAATATTACATTATACTGTTACACCTGCAGATGTTTCTGAGATACTACTCTGAAGTATTTTATTAGCGATTGTATACTTGGGGTTATTCAGCTCAGAAGTGTGGCTGTTGACTGATGAAAAAGGTGGAGCTGAGCTTCTGAATTTTATCAAGTGGAAACAAAATAGGTGAGCAGTGCTTAAAATGCTTAAATCAAGTATTTTGTCAAGACATAAAACAGCCAAGTCATTTGGTCAGCAAGAAAAGCAAGTGAGAAAATGCTGTTTCATAATAAATGCTCTGTGGATGTATTTCTCATGTAAAAATATGGTCATTTTAGAGCTTAGCCTCTTAGTTATGTACAAGAGCACCTACGAATCGGAAATAGTTGCTGGCCTTTATTGCATTCTAGAACCGATTACTCCACAGAGGTTTTAGCAAACAGGATCTGCTCCTCACCAAGCCACAGACAAAGCAGAGATCCGGTGCTGTGTGTAAGGTGTAGGGCTGATGTCCCTTTGCTACAGCCTTCCGTTCACTGGCTCCCTTGTTCCTGCCCCGCTGGATCGCTGCCCTTAGCCCAGAGCAGAGTGATGGAGGCCAGCATGGGCTCAGTCCAGCAAAGCGCTGATCCCCACTGGGTTTGGGGTGGGGGATAAAGGGGGGAGGAACGGGGGGGATTGACACCTTGGATGTTTTTTTATAGATCTTGATGGATCCTGTCCTGTCTGTACTGAAGCGACCTGAAATTTTTTTACTAATAAATTTAGGTTTGATTAAATTTGACATAAATGACACAAAGTTGCTAATCCTATTAGTACAGTTTTAGAAAAAAATTCCAACTGAAATTTCTGTTCAGACTTCCTGATTGATGAAGGAGTGAATTAGTATTCTGCATGCCATTAAAGCAACAAAGGATTCATAACTACAAGACTAATTGAACTGTATCAACCATGAAAACAGTTTAGACTCTAAGGCTGAAAAGTTAATACAGCCTGCTCTTTTAAAAGCAAGAGAAAAGAGACCATCTAATTACTGGGTATACAGTCCCAGAAAATCCAGCCCAATCACCTCTGCCTTCTTGAGCAATGTCTGCAGAGCTCGGGTGCTCCAGTGGTTAGGATGCTTGCTTACATAGCTGGATTTTTTTTTCCCCCTACATCTACCACAATCTTTGACCATGGGCAAGTCATTTAATCCCTCTCTGCCTCAACAGTCCCGTGGCAAAATGAACGTCTCAGTCATGCACTCTGAAAAAGCTGTGGCAAGGGTCAGCTTGTGAACCTTTCTCATGCCACAAAATGATTATGCCAAGTAATTCATGTAAGAAATTTACATTTCGTTCTTACTAATAAACAGGCAGGAATTTCAAGTTATAGAAGGGTGAAGCAGCAAGAAGAGCACCCAGACGTACCCTGTTGTCTCATGTATATATTACTCAAAGACCAAAAATCATCAGGTAAATTTGCTGAAATCGTAAACAAAGGAAGGTTTCTCAACAGAAGCTGTTGTTAATACTGACAGTAATTACCACGGGCTAAATGCTGAGTCACGTTAAAACTACATTTCTAAAAGGAGAGCAAGTATTTAGACTTGTCGTTGGCTGGTCTGATGATTTAGGCTCAATATAATCTTCTGTCTCAAAAAAGATTTTTAGAAGTCTACAACAATGGGAACATTATTATTTTTCTAAACCCAACAATTCAATGTAAAAAAACGTAATATTTCAGATCAATACACTTGTAAACATTTGCATACACGTTACACATTGAATTCCCCCACTAGTTTAATCTAATTGTGTGCCTATTATAAATCTCAATCTAGCTCACTGGCCTCAGGACTTCCTCAGCGAATACTACTCCTTGAGAGACTTCACCAGGGCCTCTAATTAGACAAGCAGCAAGTTCTGAAGTGAGAAATAAAGTAATACAATAGACCAGCTCATATAGCTAAAAAAGGGAATAAGCTTTCAGGCGTGCAGTCCCTTCTCCAGGTTAGCAAATGAGATGAAATGATACACTGATTTGAAGAAAATCTTTTACATTACACTTCAAATGAAATAAATAAACTCTATTCCATTCACTTTATAGGATATCAAGTATTTAAAAATTGATTTTTCTAAGAGCTTGGTTTCCTAAAGAAGTGAAGCCATGCCCATTTTATCTGGCCATGGAGACCCCTACTTTTCTGAATAATTTTTAAGCTTTAAAACAAATTATCAGTCAAGTTGGATAGAGGCACAGGTTCTCAAAGGAATTCTACGCCTGAGAGTTTAATTAAAAAAGCCAGTGAGATAGAGAAAAGGGACCGTACTGGTGCCCCCAGCGAAGGCAAGGCTGATAAGCTACAAAAGACTAATCCCCGAGGAGATAAACGTTCCATTTTAGCTGCAAGAGAGCCCACAAGAGGACATAAATCCACAGAGCCCAGACTTAATTAGTTCCTCTGCCCCAGGAGCTGGTTGGTCTTTTTCTACACTGCATGAGTAAACAGCGTACTCGGGGGCTTCTTTAGGATGAGGAGACAGAGGATACAGACTCCACTGCCTAAAATTTCCTTTCTACACCTGGAGTAAAGAATCTCCCTGACTACTCAGCAGGTTTTGGGAAGGATCCCTGAAGAAGCGTGTGACGTGGACAGGAAGGTGCCTCCTGCCTCACCCCCCTACTCACCCCAGGGCACTGCCTGGTCCCCTTTGGAAGCCTGGAAATTGCTTGATATCTGATCCCATCACGCGTGACGCGGTGAAATCAATAGCAAGAAAGTTCAAGGTGTTTTACAGCTTCATCCTGCTACGCAGAACTTTAGATCTTTTGACTGCTTGGCTGAACAATATGATAAGCAGAACTGTCTTTATGTTTCAGAGCACAGCAAAGTGGAATTTTGCTTGTCCTAAAAATACAACCCACAGTATCATAAGCATAACTTATTCCTGGACAAGTTCTGGTCTATTTGTTTATTTAGAATTTATATAGGTTACTCATTAAAAACAATTTTAGGAATTTTTAAGCGTTTGGGGTGCTTTGAGTAGGTAAGGAATCAGAATATGAAGAGTGCTGCCCCCCTTGGCAGTGGAACCAAAATCTACACGTTGAAAAGTTTGCGTGGGATGAAAGGCCTTCAAGACTCTGGGCCCCCCTCAGCTGTTTCTATTGCTTCAGGTTTTGGAACTTTTTTCATTAGCTCTCCTAATAAATCACACCCTGATCACCCTGGTGTTTCTTGCATTCTCTGTTGACGCACACTGGCAGTCTTGTGCAACTGCAATGAAGCAGTAGAAGCGTTACAGCTATACTGGAGCTAAAGGTACAAGTTCTCCAGTGTCTGCTGATATTTCTTACACCGAGTTTGCTGTACCCATTCGTTTCTGCTGACAGAACAGTCATCCATGCAGAAATAAATGGTTTATATTTGATACTGTGAAACACAAAGGGTAGGATCTGGGAAACCTGAGCCATGCTGTATCCTGGCCCTCTCAACAAGATCATCCACTGGGACACGTTTGGATGTGACAATTTAAAATCAGACCAATCCAAAGTATAGGGAACTGTCCTTTCGACCATTCATTGATAAGATTACTGTGGTATAGAATCATGATGAGCTTTCTGAGTTTTGAAACAGGTGTCATGGAGCTCACTGAAGATAGTTCCAGTGGGATGAAATACTATTTTAAGGGAAGGTGGGGAGCAGCGTAAAAAAACATTGCAAATTTGGATAGCAGCGTTCCCTCCTTCTTTGCCTCGGAGACAACTCTCCCAATAACAGAATCCTCTGCAGAATCAAGGAGAAGTGTACTGTATAAGGAATGCAGGAGAAGGCTTTTTCAGTATGAGTTAAAGCAGAGTTACTCAAAACATCTCTGTTGCCATCTCCTCCTCATTTTTGAGAAGTTAGCTGCAACAACCAAAGGAAAGACCTTCATACATGAAACAAGTTCTAAGACTACTGCATAGGAAGACGATACTTTGAAGCACTGTATGCATACTAAATTGCTTAAAGCCAGCTTTCTTCCCCAAGTAAATGACCCATGCTGAGTTCTGCACTGTTACAGTTAAGACTTCTTGCACTCATAATTAGCTCAAGTCTTCCTGTTCTGCACAGGCATAAGGATGCTGGACATAGATCTCACCGGATCACACAGGCTAGATTGTACAAGTCTCTGTAATCTAGGATGTAAACTCTTGAGGGTGGAGGCCCTACTCACAAAGCACACACCACACTGCAGGTACAATTTGCAAATGTAAATTCATAAAACATTAACAAGTCCAAACACATCTTATTCTGACCCCATGTAATTGTAACAAATTGTGCATTAGCTTATGTTTCAGTTTCCACGATATTCTGTTCGTTAGCTGTGCTAAATGTTCTTGTACCACTCCCACTCGTCCACGAAGTGCTTGTGGTGTAACTGTACCCCATCTAGCGCTAAGCTGGCCTGCCATCACGAGACACCTCCCCTCACCCTCTGTCACCTCCGCACCCCCCTCCCTAGCCACGTATTTCCACTTGCAGATCTCTGCACAGCACAGCTTTCTTGCTTTCCTTGTCCTCCACCAGTTATCACAATGGCGATGCCAGTTTTTGTGGTCTTTTTATTAGATTTTTACTGAGTGTTTTTGTGCTTGCTCTCATGCTGCTCCTTATACTTGGAATCACCCAAACACATTTACAAAACCATTTCATTGTTTTCTTTCAGATCATTCCTTAAAGCACTCCTTTCCTACGATGTATGCAAAAATCCTGACAATAGCTGTTAAGGTTTTATCACAGCCCATATCTTTTAATGAGTATTTTTTATTATTTCCTTATACTCTCCATATTTGTTCATCTGTTCCCTTTTAGCCTCAGAATGTGCTTTCTTTGGTGCAAAGATCATTTATTTGTTCTGTTTCATATACTGCCTGACTGATGAGAA